CATATATAGTATAAATTTATTGCAGCTATCACACAGAAATCAGAGTAGATTTTCCCTGCCTGCCATTTTCATATTTGCACTCATTTTAACATGCAATTATTTATTGAAGTTTAACACATATTTCAACTAATACATAAAAAATGATTTCCGTATAGTTAGAATCACTTCTGGAATATATACAAATGGAAAAATATGTATTTATATAGGGTGATCACAATTCTTATATTGATATATCTAAAACAAGTTGGGCGTTTACTTGTTTGATATAACACATATGTATGAATAAAGTTACATAAATATTTTTAGGTGATTTTTTATCACTACTGTTACTGGCTTTATTATTCGTAGTTTTGAATAGAGTATACTTACTGGGAAGTGTCATATTTTTGCTTCTCCACATAGTCCTTCTAATATGATGTAATACATCAGTTGATGCTGATTTAAGATACAGGATTTGTTGATATGAAACTAATTCCAATAACAAAAAAATTTGTTGAGTGATATGCATATATTCATTCAAACTATATTATTATGGATAAAGAAAATTATAAATGTTAGATATCTTTTGGAGATACTTCCCTAATTAGTAGTTTATATATGACCATGTTTTTTAGAAAACTGAGTAGACATTTAAGTCTATATGCTTGTGCCTAGGCTTACACATAATAGGTCTTCAATAAGTATTTGCTGGATAAATGAATGAATTAATAGTATTGATGCTGACTTTAGGAATCAATCTTACTGCATTTTGAGACAAAGTAGTTTTTAAAAGTTAGTTACCATTATGTAAATCATTCAATGTTACCCATTTATAGTATCTTAATATTTGCTACAACTTACAAATATCTTGTCACATGTTGTTTGTACCCACTGAGATAGCAGAAATTAATAGGGGATTTATGAACATTGCCTAAATTAGATCAGGAAAAGATTATAGCCATGTTTATTTATGCCAATCAGCACCCCTCAACTGTAAAGGAATAAATTTATAGAATAATTACAGATAAAAATCCATATGTTAAAGAAAATATAAGAATACTTAATAAGCATTTTATCTTACATAATTAGTATCTTGATGTTAACACATTTAATAATAATACAAATGTCTTTATTACACATCATTATCTTTCTACTGACAGTATTTTATGATGTTTCATTATTATTTGGTCAATTAGCAGTGATAATTTAAGCACTCAAATTAATCCATCAGATTTAAAACCAGTGGCTATATGGTTTTTCATTTGCATATGGAAAGATAACATTTGATTATAGGCCTCATTATGAACGTGAGGACCATAGGGCCATTGATGACAAAATCAATTATTGAAGTTTTTGTATTGAGACTTAAAAAAATTTCTTCAGTCCCATTCAAATAATTTCAAATTACAAAATCACTATAATTTATTTTAAGTTTTAAATTATGGTATGTTTGGTATAAGCACTTTTCACATGAGATCTACCCACTCACAAATTTTTAAGTGCATAATACAGTATTATTAACCAGAGCTATAATTTTGTACCACAGATCTTTAGAACTTATTCATCTTATGTAATGGAAACTTTATACACATTGAGCAGCAACTCCCCACTTCTCCCATCCTCAGTCCCTGGCAACCACAATTCACTCTTTTGTTTCTATGAGTTTGACATTTTAGATGCTTCATAATTATGCAGTATTTGTCTTTCTATGACTTGCTTATTTCACTTAGTGTAATGTTCCCCAGGTTCATCCATGTTATTATTTATGGCAGGATTTTCTTCTTTTTTTTAAGGGTGAATAACATTTCGTTATATGTATATGCCACATTTCTTTGATGGACACTTAGATTCTTTTCATATGTTGGCTGTTTTGTGAATAATAGTGCAGTAAACATGGGAGTGCAGCTATCTCTTTGAGATTTTTAAGTTCTTTTGGTTATATACCCAGAAGTGGGATTGGTACATCATATGGTAGTTCTAGTTTTAATTATTTGTAGAATCTCCATAGTGTTCTCTATAGCAGCTACACCATTTTACATTTCTACCAACAATGTACAAGGGTTCCAGTTCCTCCACCACATCCTCATAACACTTTGTTTTGGTTTTGGTAAGAGCCATTGAAAGAGCTGTGAGGTGATATTTCATTATGGTTTTGATCTGCATTTCCCTCATGATATTGAGGGTATTTTTGTATACCTGTTGGCCATCTCTATGTCTTCTTTGGAGAAATATCTTTAGAAATATCTTTAATTGAGTTACTAAATTGCCCATATTTTAATAAAGTTATGGAATATTTAATTTTAAAGCATTTGAAACATATGTAATAAAAGCATCCAAGGACAGGTAACAGTTTGAAACATGAAAGCAGGACATTTTTAAAATAAGAAGCCTTCAATACTATCTGGATAAGTTTCATATGTCATTACCTCTCTTCAGATTCTCTATTTATCTAAGCCTGTGGTTGTGATCACTAAGGAATGCTTTTAAAGACAAGAAAGCCAAAGGCATTAATAGCCATTGGTTAATATTTACTGATCATGGCAAAAACTTTATTGTTTGTGAAAGGCTATCTGATTAGGGAACTATTTTAAACTAGCTTTGCTCTAGTAATTCTCAAAATAGCAGTGCCCAATCATGAAATTCTTATCATTTCTTCAACCTAAGATAAAGCCAGTTTACATACTATAAGGGAAATATATTAGGATTTAAGATATTTAAGACGTCTAATCTTAATTTTAAGCAATTTGTTAATTTGAAAAGGGGAGAAGTTGGAATATATTTTAATGAAAAAAATGCAAAAATATGAAGTCATACAAAATGAACATTATGTTTGTGTGGGTTACTCCGGAGTCTTGTTAGTTTGCAGAAAATCTTACAATATCCATTATACTACAGCATTTTCACCCTATATGTACTTGGTTAACTAGTCTCCAATAGGGGGGATTAAGGCATATTGGGAGATTAAGACAGTTTCCTTGACTATTTCTTAGGGAAAGATTTTCTGAATGGTTCTAGAAGTAATTTAAATATGATTCAGGTACCTTTTTTTTTTTTAATTAACAAAGGGATTTTGGATTGTTATTTGTTTATATAGAGTAGTCTTAACCTGGGCATGGCTTGGACTTGAGATCATGATTTTCAAGTGTAATTATTATCTAGTCTGCTTAGACTCTGCATCACTTTAGATAAGTCATAGTGATAAAGCTTAGAACTAATTATTAGGACATAATTATTCAGGTAATTAATTTTATGTTATTTTTTCTAGGAAGTTCACTTAATTTTCCTATATTTTGCACCAGTAAAACAGAGGGGGGTCTTAATGGACTTGCAGTATTTGATGTATTCTATAACATGTGTGGAAAGTTTTCCAGCTATGAACACATAGCTTAGCAAAAATGTACTGTAGTAGTGTGTTGGTTTTCCTCTAAAGAAAATCAGTAACTCATTTATGATCTCTTTAACAAAAATCAGATAAGTTAAAATAATAAAAATAACGATTTCCTCAAAATGAAATTAAATTTTTAAAAATTATTATTATGGTCATATGATTCAGTGATGAAGTTTAGCAGCATGAGTTTGGGGATAAAAGCATATCACTACTTGAATGAAAAAAAAATGTTGGCTTTACTTTTCTCTTTTTTTTTTTTTTTAAAGAAGAGGTGGAGGTAGATTTTTTTTTTTTTGAAGATTTTATTTATTTATTTTACAGAGATAGAGATAGTGAGAGCAAGAACACAAGCAGGGGGAGAGGGAGAGGGAGAAGCCCGCTTCCTGCCAAGCTGGGAACCCAATGTGGGACTCGATCCCAGGACCCTGGGATCATGACCTGAGTTGAAGGCAGATGCTTAACGGCTGAGCCACCCAGGCACCCTCTTATATTTTTTAATGGTCCCATTACCTACAACCCTATTTTTATATTAGAAGAAGTAAACTGCCAACACCTGAGTACAGTGGTAGCTGTGGAATTTTTGTATAGGTGGGTTTAGGGATTTGCCATAAAGCTTCATTTTCACAACAGATAGCCACATTGTTTTTTACTTTGGTTTTTGAGATGGGTTCTCTGAGGTAGAGCTGATGGAGGTTATGGGGGGGATAAGGCCACTACTACTTCTCACAGTTTCAGGTCATTTGAACTGTTCAGATCTAGAGGATTACCTTCTGAATAGAGCATAATTAAATATTTTCTTCTAAGAAGGCAAATAGTACTAAAAACTGTCATGGATACAAAGATAACTTACTCAAAAGACCAAGTCTTTGAGGTTAATTAATTATATGTATGCAAATGGTGCTGTTGTGCAACTTGCAAATGGTTCATATTTATTCTTCAAAGCAATCTTAGCAGGAATTTTTATATGACAACCCATTTAGCAGTTAAAGTTACATAGTTTAAGGGGCACCTGGGTGGCTCAGTTGGTTAAGCGTCTGCCTTCGGCTCAGGTCATGATCCCGGGGTCCTGGGATGGAGCCCCGCATCGGGCTCCCTGCTCAGTGGGAAGCCTGCTTCTCCCTCTCCCGCTCCCCCTGCTTGTGTTCCCTCTCTCGCTGTGTCTCTCTCTGTCAAATAAATAAATAAAGTCTTTAAAAAAAAAAGTTACATAGTTTAAAGCAGTTCCACTGAATTAAAGACATGTCTAAATTTTAACGTATTTTAGGATAAATGCATATATGCCTTTTTCCTCAATTAGTCCAAATTAGGGAGATTTTACTATGTATTTAATTCCAGTGCTGCTGTAGGTACCTGGTAAAGGAGTAATGAATGTTGTACATTAGGTAAGAAGCTGCAATTGATTTTTGGTACTATTTGGCTTATCTTTTCTGCTTAAGTGCTGATATTTAAGTTGTAGGGAAACCTCTGAATGGGTCTGTATTATTATGTTTATCCTTTTCCTTGAACTAATGAAATAAACACATTATTGATTTTTGGCATAGGCTTTGTTAATGTAGTTAATATGCCTTACTAATTTATTTCATGTGATTGGATTAGTACCATTATTGTTTATGAATAAACTTTTTTCCTTTAGTTCAAAAGAATGTAGAAGCTTCAGAAGAAAAGAAGATCCTCCCTGCAAAGAAGAAAGTGAAAGAATTGAAAATTTTGGATCCCAAAACGGCCCAGAATCTGTGTATGTGATGTTTTCTGTATAAGGGGTGGTGGTGATGGTGGTGATGAGGAGTTGTTGAATATTTTTACACAAAGTTGTAAATGATTTGAACAGGTATATTTAGCATCTGCTAGAAACAAAATTGTGTGTAAACGTGATTTGAATTGCCTTTTTCTCATTCAGACCATCATAATTTAGTCTTCCTCAGGCCAGATGAAACTTATGAATAATAAAGCTTTGGAAAATACTGATAATTAAGCACTGTTACAGAGTAAGACATAAGGTTCACTTAAAGAGTTCAAAAGAGTGTTATGTTTCCCCTTTCTGCCTAGACCTAGGTGTGATAGTTTTGGACTATTCACTGGTCACATTGGGCAAATCCTTTTATTGCTATGCCTTTATAGTTGAAGTAATTGTGATGTTAGAGAGTTATATTGTTAACCACTGCACTTAACTACTGGTAGTGAACCGGGGGGAGGAATTAAGATGGTGAAGGAGTTGGGGAACCCAAAGCTTGTCACAGCTCTTGAACACAGGTAAGTGGTTATCAAATCATTCTGAGCACTCAAGAAAATATTTGGAGGTCTGAGAGAACAAAAACTGCAAGTCAACAATTAGAAAAGCTACCACCTTTTGGAAGGAATCCCAGAACATGAAGGAAGAGAAAAGGGGGCAGAAGGTTTATTTGTTTCAATTATAACTGAAAACTTCCCTAATCTAGGAGATACATCAAAATCCAAGAAGCAAAAAGACCTCGTATTAAATCTAACAAAAGCTCACCATTGCCAAGGCATATCATAGTCAAATTCACAAAATACAGACAAGGAAAGAATCCTGAAAGCAGAAAAGGATAAAAAGTCCTTAAACTACAGGGGAAACAGATCACATTCACAGCAGGTCTGTCCACAGAAACTTGGCAGGCCGCAAGAGAGTGTCAGGATATATTCAATGTGCTACATGGGAAAAATATGCAACCAGGAAATCTTTATCCAGCAAAGCTGTCATTCAGAACAGGAGAGATAAAAGAGTCTCAGACAAGCAAAACTTAAGGAGTTCATGGCCACTAAACCAGCCCTCCACGAAATTTTAAAGGGGGATCTTTGAGTGGAGAAGAAAAAAAACCAAAAGCAACAAAGACTAGAAAGGAACAGAAAACATCCCCAGAAATACCAACTCTACAGGTAACACAATGGTACTAAATTCATATCTTTACTGAAAGATATGAATCACTCTGAATGTAAGTGGACTAAATGCTCGAACCAAAGACATAGCATATCAGAATGGATTAAAAAAAACAAGATCTATCTATATGCTCCCTCCAAGAGACTCATTTTAGACCTAAACACACCTGCAGATTGAAAGTGAGGGGATGGACAAGCATCTATTATGCTAATGGTATCAAAAGAAAGCTGGAGTAGCCATAAACATATCAGAGAACTAGATATTTAAGCAAAGAATGTAACAAGAGATGAAGAAGGGCATTATATCATAAAAAAGGGTTCTATCCATCAAGAAGATCTAACAATTGTAAATATTTATGCCCCCAAATTAGGAGAGCCCAAATATATAAATCAATCAACAATAAACATAAAGAAACTCATTGATACAGTAATACTGGGTAACTTTAACACCCTACTTAGAGCAATAGACAGATCATCTAAGCAGAAAATCAACAAGGAAACAATGACTTTGAATGACACAGTGGACCAGATGGACTTCACGAATATATTCTCAACATTTCATTGTAAAGCAGCAGAATACACATTGTTTTTGAGTCTACATGGAACAATCTCCAGAATAGATTACATCCTGGGTCACAAATCAGGCCTCAAGAAGTACAAAAAATTCGAGATCATACCATGCATATTTTCAGACCACAATACTGTGAAACCTGAAGTCAATCACAAGAAAAATTTTGGAAAGGCCACAAATACATGGAGGTTAAAGAACATCCTACTAAAGAATGAATGGGTTAACAAGGAAATTAAAGAAGAAATAAAAAAAATAATATGGAAACAAATGAAAAAGAAAACATGACACTCCAAAACCTTTCAGATGCAGCAAAGGCAGTCCTAAGAAGGAAGTATATTGAAATACAGGCCTACCTCAAGAAACAAAAGTCTCAAATACACAACCTAACCTTATACCTAAAGCAGCTAAAATAGGAACAGGAAATAAAGCCTAAATCCAACAGAAGAATGGAAATAATAAGGATTATAGAGAAATCAATGATACAGAAACAACAACAACAAAAAATCATTAGAACAGATCAACAGTACTAAGAGCTGCTTCTTTGAAAGACCCAATAAAACTAATAAACCCCTACGCAGACATATAAAAAAAAAGAGAGAGAGAAACCAAATAGAGAAAATAACAAATGAAAGAAGATAGATCAGAGCCAACACCACAGAAATACAAACAATTATAAGGCAATACTATGAAAAATTATATGCCAACAAAGTGGACAATCTGGAAGAAATGAAGAAATTCATAGAAACTTACAAACTATCAAAACTGAAACAGGAAGAAATAGAAAATTTGAACAGACCCATAACTAACAATGAAATTGAATCAGTAATCAAAAATCTCCCAACAAACAAGAGTCCTGGGCCAGATGGCTTCCCAGGAGAATTCTGCCAGACATTTAAAGAAGAGTTAATACTATTCTTCTTAAACTGTTTCAAAAAATAGAAATGGAAGGAAAACTTCCAAACTCATTCAATAAAGTCAGCATTACCTTGATTTCAAGACCAGACAAAGACCCTACTAAAAAAGAGAACTACAGGCCAATATCCCTGATGAACATGGATGCAGAAATTCTCAATAAAATACTAGCTAATTTAATTCAACAGTACATTAAAAGAATTATTCAATATGACCAAGTGGGATTTATTACTAGGCTGCAGGGGTGTTTCAATATTTGTAAATCAATGTGATACACCACAGTAATGAAAGAAAGGATATGGACCACTGATCCTCTCAATAGATGCAGAAAAAGCATTTGACAAAATGCACCATCCTTTCTTGATAAAAATCCTCAACAAAGTAGAAATAGGTGGAAAATGCCTCAACATCATGAAGGCCATATACAGAAGACCCACAGGTAATACCATCCTCAATGGGGAAAAACTGAGAGCTTTTCCTCTATGATCAGGAACAAGACAAAGATGTCTACTCTCACCATTATTGTTTAACATAGTACTGGAAGTCTTAGCCTCAGCAATCAGACAACAGAAAGAAATAAAAGGCATCAAAATTGGCAAGGATAAAGTCAAACTTTCACTATTTGCAGACGACATGATACTCTATGTAGAAAACCTGAAAGACTCCCAACAATGCTTGCTAGAAGTAATATATGAATTCCCCAAAGTTGCAGGATATAAAATGAACTTGCAGAAATCTGCTGCATTCCTATACAGCAATAGTGAAGCAGCAGAAAAAGTAAATAAGGAATCGATCCTATTTGCAATTGCACCGAAAACAATGATACCTAGAAATAAACTAAAGAAGTAAAAGATCTGTACTCTGAAAACTACAGAACAGTTATGAAAGAAATTGAAGAGGACACAAAGAAATGGAAAAGCATTCTATTCTCATGGATTGGAAAAACAAACACTGTTAAAATGTATATAGTATCCAGGGGCGCCTGGATGGCTCAGTCGTTAAGCGTCTGCCTTCAGCTCAGGTCATGATCCCAGGGTCCTGGGATTGAGCCCCGCATCAAGCTCCCTTCTCAGTGGGGAGCCTGCTTCTCCCTCTCCCACTCCCCCTGCTTGTGTTCACTCTCTCGCTGTATCTCTCTCTGTCAGATAAATAAATAAAATCTTTAAAAAAAATGTATATACTATCCAAAGTAATCTACACACTTAATGCAATCCCTATCAAAATATCACTATCATTTTTCACAAACAATCCTAAAATTTGTATGGAATTACAAAGGACCCTGAATAGGCAAAGCAATATTGAAAAAGAAAAACAAAACAGGAGGCAACACCATTCCAGATTTCAAGTTACATAACAAAGATGCCGTGATCCAGGCAGTATGGTACTGGCACAAAAATACACACATAGATCAATGGACTGTAATAGAAAACACAGAAATGGACCCACAGTATATGGTCACCTCATCTTTGAGAAAGGAGGAACAAATATCCAATGGAGAAAAGATAGTTTCTTCAGAAAATGGTGTCAGGAAAACTGGACAGCGGCATGGAGAAGAATGAAAGCGGACCACTTTCGTACACCATAAACAAAATTAAATTCAAAATCAATGAAAGACCTAAATGTGAGACAGGAAACCATCAAAATTCTTGAGAAGAACACAGGCAGAAACCTCTTTGGCCTCGACCATAGCAACTTATTACTGGACACGTCTCTGGACACAAGGGAAGCAAAAGCAAAAATAAACTATCAGGGCTTCATTAAGATAAAAAGTTTTTGCACAGCAAAGGAAACAACCAACAAAACGAAAAGGTAGGAGAGGAGGGGGGAAAGATGGCGGAGGACTAGGGGACCCTATTTCAACTGGTCCCCAGAATTGAGCTGGATATCTACCAGACCACTCTGAGCACCCACGAAACCAGCCTGAGATGTAAGATCTGGATCTCAAAAAAACAGAATATCGCAGGTGGTTGGTTTTGAGGTATGAAGTGTGGAGCCATGATTCTGCGGGCAGATATCGGAGGATAAACGGCAGCGGGAGGGTGCCTGGCCGTGGGGATCCTGCACCGCTGGTGAGCAACAGTCTTGCGCGCTGGGGACAGGGCACAGACTCGCAGACCCATAGCGGCGGGGAAAGGACTCTAGGGCAGCCCCCGCGCTGGAAACCCGGAGCAGTGGAGTTGGGCGTGCATGAACTGGGAGCGGCTGGCGGTTTTAGAAGCACAAAGGGCAGAGATGTGCCCCAACCTGGAGGCAGGACTGGGAGCACTGTGGAGGGATGCACAACCCAGACCGCTGCAGTTTATAGGAGCAGGGACAGAAACGGAGACGGTGTGTCCTGGAGAGCTCACTGAAGAACAGACTGTGGTCTTTCTGCTCTGAGGCAGAGGGTTGGAAACAGTCTCTTCTGCTCTGACTTGCAGAAGGGACACGGAAAGCTGCCAGGGAAAGCCTCCAGAGAGCAAAAGCCCCAAAGACTGATTCCCGCTGAGCCCATCCCCCACCACAGGGGGGCAGGGCAACACTGCCCAAACAGGGTTGCCTGAGTAATAGCGCAGCAGGCCCCTCCCGCAGAAGACAGGCTGGGAAAACAAGAGGCCAGCAACCCTAAGGTCCCAAGAAAACAGGTGCATCTTGCTTGG